ATTAAAGAAATTAAAATTTCAGTTAGGAAAAAACATAGCATTACACGAAACATGCTAAAACATTAACAACATTAATTTTAACTGTATTAAACCTTTTTATATTTGATACCTACAGTTATCCGTGAGTAATTAATAATTTATTTAAAAAATACAACAATCAAAAGTTTTTATCAGCAAATTTTAGATATTAGTGATTACCATGTACTCTCTTTGAAACAATTCTAAGACAATATTAGAAATTCCATAAAGTTTTGTTTCTTGAAAACAAAAAACTGATCTGCAATTTTTCCAATTTATTATAAATAATATTTATATTAATAGTTATTTACGTAACAAGTGCGAAAAAGACGATTTCCCGCACGAGTAGTGATTGACTCACACGAGTACCGGAGTTGACGGGAACGAGCTGTACCAGTTGAGCACACGAGTGCGTAGCACGAGTGTGATCGCAAGGTACGAGTTACCGTCACCGGCCACGAGTGCGAGTCTATCAAACGAGTGCGGGAAATCGTCCCGCACGAGTTGCGTACAAGTTTTTTCGCAATGTGTGAAGAAAATAGGTACAAAATAGGTTTGAATTTTGATTTCCAGTGTGTAGCAAATTTTTTTCCGGTGTGTGGAAAAACCTTTTCCATACACCTTTTCCGCACACTGTGCGGCAAAAACCTTTGTCGCACACTTTTTCCACACAATGTGCGAAAAAAACCTTTGCCACACACCTTTTCCGCACACTGTGTGGAAAAACCTTTGCCGCACACCTTTGTCGCACACTATGTGGGAAAATCGATTTTCCACACTAATACCAGTGTGGAAAACATCAATTTTCCGCACACTATTACGAAAAACTTATTGTTCTTATTAATTATTCAAAGCATACAAACGTTTCAACAAAATCGATTGACTGCGCCCAATTCCAATCGTAATATCGGATGTAGTCAGATACAAATTTCAGTTGAATAGCACGAACTATAAAGTAGTTTGGTAAAAATTAAGTATAGGGCAAAAATATTTTTTTAAATTACTTGATCTTACTGATTGATTCGTTTGGAAAATAGTTCAGTACTATTTTAGCAAGTTTGAAAAAGTATACTTTATTTCTTACAGTTATGATAGTATTATTGTTTATAGTAATACCGAAGGGGGTGAATGTATTTTTAAATATTTGTAACCAATCAAGCTGAAATAAATATGATTGAGTATACTTTTCATAGCATGGGAGTTAGTTAGTGTTATAAAATTTGTGTGTACCCTGCTGATATCATTTCTAACATTGTGATTATATAAGTTGATCCATGACTCAATGGTAAAGTCTTGATATTCTGGATCAGTAACTTTAAAATTTTGAATTTCTAAAATAAACTAAGAAATATTGTTTAAAAATTTTTTTAAATATATTTGTTTATAAGAATTTTAAGTGAAAAAATTCAATCCAAAGACAGTATTACATATTTACTTACTTTTACCAATAAACTGTACATATCCAACAAGTTTTCATCTTTTATAACACTTCGCAATGGCAGTGTTACATTTTGAAAAGGTTCACACAGCGATATAAATTTTTCCATATTTCCGTGATAACTAAATTCGTTGAACCATGTATTATTTTTTTTTTTTGAGTTGTTTTCATACTGTAGTATTTCAATTTTCTCCTCTGTCTGACTTTTTCTTTTTTCGTTCAATACTTTTGATACGTTCTTGCAATACTCAAATGTTTTCGTTTGCATTTGGATAAGCATATTTGCTGACAAGTCAGGAAATTTTTTGGCATTCCATTTTTTTAGTGAAGGTGGTTCTAGCTGAAATCAATTGTTATTTAAATTATTTCAAAAAAATTCTTTTAATAATTAAAACAAAAAAAACTATAAGACTACAATGAAATAATATTTTTACCTAGAGAAATATTTTTTTTTTAAATATTTGATTCATAGTATTTCGAAATTATAAACTCACCAGAATTACTTTTTTCTTTGGCTCAGAAAAGTCATTTATAACATTGATATCGAAAAAAGTATGTCCAAAACCTAGTGAAGCTAATTTACCATCAAGTATTTTCCAATCATTTTCATAAATTCTTTCGCTAAATTTCTTTAACATGTCATTAAAAAATTTCTGTACTGAAAACAAATCCAGTATATTATTTACGTGATCTGTGTCATTCGCGTTTCTGTCATCATCGTGAATATTCTCATCTTAAATGTAAAAATTTGCTGTTACAAAATGAACGCATTATTCTCTGATACATTTAATAAATTATTCTCACCAAGTTTCATACAACTTTTGTATAACTCTTGTTCAACGTAAGCTGACTTAGACTTTTGATGAGAATTATTGATGATACCTGAATCGTTATGTATATTTAGCAAAAAAATTCTAGCAGTCACAATTAAATTTTGTTCAATTACTTGTAAACATTGCCATTAGCTTAGAGTATGAGTGCTCAATAGAATGTTTGAAATTGTGGCTGTTCCTTACTTCTGATTGATTTTTTTTGCAAAAATACCAGTAAAAGTCAGAGCAAACTTCATTATTCTCAATTTCCAATTTTTCTGAAAAAAAAATGAATGATAGTTTTTGATTGTTAAGTTTCCTTCAAGATTCGGAAAACGTATTTCCGAGCACATTGAAAAAGAATGTAAAAAAACTGATAACAGACTTACCCTCGCTACGCTCGGGCGCACACTACAACAGCCACGAACTGGCTTGCTTTAGTCCCTTGGTACGTAATATACTATTTCAGGTTTTGAAAAAGTTAATATTCAGACAATTACCTGAGCTTGCTGATGTTCAAAGAAAACTTTACAAAATGAATCTAAAGATATTAGTATTTCTTTAGACTTTCTAACGTACTCTAACAAGACTTATTATATTTTTCTTACATTTAATGTAGCATATGTTTTTATAATAAAAGTGTACTCTCGAATTTAGAATAAAGGATAGTCAATCATAAAGTCTCTATGTAGGATACAATTAGTTACTTGACTTGAATAGTTTATGAGACATTGATACTTACTAAAGCGATTTCTAGGTTTTTCAAGTTCATTAATACTGAATTGCCAATATTCATCTGAAAGCCTAGAAAGACAAATACCGTACTTGACAATTTACGCTGTCTAAAAAATGCAGTTGTTTTTTACTTTTTTACTAATTATCAAAGCTAGTTCTAATAACTATTAATTTATATACGTATACAAAGGTTTAAAATATTTATCATCCATTCTTACACATATTGATAAGATTAAGACTAAAACTTAAGGTAGTCTTTCACCCACCATTTTTTAATTTTGGTTTCCTTGAAAAAAACGTATGTTATAGATTAAATTTTTCTTTCTCGGAATAAACTGTGAAAAAATATTTCTATCATATTGGTTTTTGAGATAATAAAATTGAAAGTTTTAAATTTTAACACAGGTTACAATGGGACTTTTTGAATATACGCAAAAAGAGCTATTTAAGTAACTAAAAAAATTCTGAGAAATATACCGTTAAAAAATTTACAATTCGTACTATTTTTTACAATTTAATAACTGTTGGTTCACCAGTATAAATAAAAAGTAGTGAATCATTTAACAATTGTCATGTAACTTGTCTGTTGCATACGTGAGTGTTTCAAATATTTAGCAACAGAGCAGCCGCATATATACAGCCATATGCGAGTATGTGCGTATAGCAAACGTATGGCGACTATGACAAGCTGATCGATACTGTTGCCATATCTCAGCAGAACGTAATAATAAGCCTTTTCTACATTTAAGCGTTAGGCGTATTTTGAATTCACTAACAGATGATGCATTGAAAATAGGCCTGTTAGTGATAAACTACCTTAAGTACGATATTGTTACACCTAAAGTCAATCCGTCTACACCATATAAGCTGGCCATTTAATTTTGATACTCACTTATTTTCTAAAAGAAGGATATTCTTATTTCGCAATAGACTCCGGTAATTGATAATATCAATAAAAAAATTCCCAGTTATGTTAAGCTATAAAATATAAGAAACAAAAAGTAATCGTCATATTCTTAGTTTGAAGTATTCAGAAGAATATACTTACCCCTTCATAAAATTCCGACGTCAATGTTTTATTCCAATAGTCATTGTCGATATTTTTAGTAATTTTAAATAATTGCAATTCAAGATGATTCTTTTGTTTTTGAGACAATGTTTTTGATTTGAGGATCTTATTGTGTAAAACATTAACAACATTAATTTTAACTGTATTAAACCTTTTTATATTTGATACCTACAGTTATCCGTGAGTAATTAATAATTTATTTAAAAAATACAACAATCAAAAAGCTAAAATGGTAATATATACTAAAAATCTATCCCTACCCCTCAGGATACTAAAATAATGCCTTTAATTCTTATTTATGGATACTATTACTACATAAGATGTCACATATATTTTTTTACATTGTAGCTTCAAATGTTGATACAAAAGAAAATGTTCGTTTGCCAGCAACTGACAAGTTTCCAAGGACTGAGTTGTTACTTTCACCTTATCAACTTATAGAAGAAAATTATCCCATTCCGCTGAAAGGTGGTCTTGCTAAAAAGTATGAGAATTATGTAATGACTAAAGATACATATGCTGAGGTAAATTCAGAATCAAAAATGTATGGTATAGATTGTGAGATGTGTAGGACAACTTTGGGTTCACTAGAACTGACCAGAATATCTATTGTAGATGAAGCATTAAATGTAGTTTATGATACTCTTGTCAAACCAGACAATAAAATTACAGATTATCTTACTCCCTATAGTGGTATTACCAAAGATATGTTAGAAAAGGTCACAACAAGATTATCTGATGTACAAGACTTTATAAGAATTTTCCTTCCTGCTGACGCAATCATTGTTGGACAGAGCCTTAATTCAGACTTCAATGCTTTGAAAATGATGCACCCATATATAATTGATACAGCAGTAATATTTAATGTTACAGGAGACAGATATCGAAAAACAAAATTGAAGGTACTTGCCTCGACGTTTTTGAATGAAAATATTCAAAATAATAAAGCTGGACACTGTTCAGCGGAAGATGCTACAGCTTCTTTAAAATTGGTTCAGCTCAAGTTGGCCAACAGTATTGATTTTGGTGATTCAATATTAATAGAGAAGTCACATTTTAGCTCTTATATGTCTGAGTTAAAAAAAGACAAAAGAACTATGAAATCAAAATACGAAAATTGTAATTTCACTGTGGGATCTTCAATTTTTAACCGCACTACCAATGCTGAAACAGGGCACAGCAAAACTGCAGGGATTTTTGGATGCACAGAAGTAATGAATAATTATTCTAAATTTATGAAAAATTCGAACTTAAAAATAACGTATGGTAATGACTTCCAAGTTGGGGATCACGTGCGTCTTGTAATCTCGGAAAGCAATCGTGAATTAGTAAAGAGGTGTTCACAGGTGGCAGCAGAGCATGCTCTTAGTTTCCTTCATGTTACATTGAATAATGATGATTTAGCAGAAGACAATGTTGCTAAAACTCTACATTCTGTTGATAAGTGGATTGAAAAACTTTGGAAACACACCAAGCAATATGGGATGTTGTGTGTTTTATTTAGTGGAAAAAAAAATTCCTCAACTGGAGCTTGCTTTTTGAGCATCAAAAATGAAATTAATACTGAAGATGTTTCTAAAGTATAGATAATCTATTAACACTGCCATTCCATGTATTCAATAAATATAGTTATGGGGTTGCGTGCCCCATGCACGAAACACGGGAAACAGCATTAGTAAGGTCACGATCACACATCTACAAAATACAGCTATAGATTGTGAAAAGCGGCGAAGAGTATAAAGTTCTCCCACTATCTGTCGATCTCATTTGTGCAGCAATTATTGCAATTTACTTTATTATGAAAACAATGATAACTTGAAGTGTAAAGAATTTATAGAAAAATGAAGACACCTAAACGCAAACAAAAAAGTATAAACGTGTATTCTTACTTCGAATTTTGCAAGAGTATCTAGTCTATTGTTCCCGTATAACCAGATGCAAGTTATGTTCTGGGAAGATAAGAAAAAAGGTACATCTCATTTCCTCATAACTACAGGGGCTTTTGTACAACTGCATTAATTTTGTGCTATGGTACAGAATATATTTTAAACAAATTTTAATGTTAAAATTACAAACTCACATGAAAAAAATTAAGGTGTTCTTGAGCCACTGATCCAAAGGGAAGTATTTTTTTTCTACATTCCCTGTTTATACACAACAGGTACTATAAAATAGATTCAAAATTTTCTAAAGAGATGAAACGATAATAATTATTAGTTATTGTAAATAAATGTTAAAACGGCATAAGATGAAATAAACGAAGTTCTTTATAATAATAAAAAAATATGATTAAAAAAAAACAGGTGTAAGTCTCAGGACCTCTGACAGATGTGAAACATCAAATAATATATTATTAAACTTAGTGGTATTTATTTTACATTTTTTATTTAAATTTAGAGTTTATTTACGAATACGTATTTTTATCAGTAAATACTATTGATAAGGAAAAAGCAAATATTCAATTATTATTATTTTTTTTTATTCATCAACATTTAAACAACGAGAACGAGAAAGAACA